GGCATTCAAGCAACAACAACAGCAATAATAATAATAATAATAATAATTATTATTATTATTATTGATTACAAAGCAGAAAAATAAGCACAGTTAAAACAAATTAAAAACAATGAGTCAAGCATGGCGAGCGGAAAGTCAAAATCCTCAGTGTCACAAAGCCTTCAGTCCCTTCACCCTGCTATATCACTGTGGCAACCCATGCTTAATGCACAGCCGAACCAGGCCAGGCTCCGAGCCACAGCCCCAAAAAGTGTCATCCACCCATCAATTCTTCCACTTACTGGAGCAAATCCCATGCATTGTGCCCAGCTGCAAAGCTATAACAGTGCAAATTGTGCACTGCACAGTCACTAGAATTCACATTTAGTTTGTATTTAGTTCGTAATGCAGAAAACACCCAGATGTTTTCATGCTTCGTCCCAATGCTGCCAGAACTACAGTCACTAGAGCACAGAGCAGAAATCCCATCACCTGCACCTCATTACAGGCCATTTTTGACATGGAATTAGTAGCATTGCTTAGTACACCAATTCGTAAGTATCGGTTTTTATTCATTGAGAAAACATAAAGTCTGATAATCAATGTGAAACATTCTGAGTGGTCTTCTTTTATCTTTATCTGGACAGTTGGCAGAAAGAGTAATCGGGACCCCAAGGGATGCCTCGTTTTGTTGAACTCTTTCAGTTAAAGTTGTATGCAACATAAGATTTCAAGCATCCAGTTCAATTTGATTTAAACTGAATTTTAATATCTTTTATAAAATGCTAATTCTTAGCAGTTGCTTCCAGAGGTGTGTACTACAAAGCAGGACTTTGGTTTATTCAGGTAAATACAAAGTTAAAGTTAACCCTAATAAAAATTAAGTGCTATTATTTACAAGCCTGTGCTTGCTTTTCCCATCTAAAGATGAGGACAAAATTATGAATCCCCATATGAAATATTAAGTGTTTTTTTTTTAACATAGCTTTTTGAAACACACATTTTTCAGAAGGCATACACACAATAGCAGAATTTTTTCCGAAAGAAAATATTATTAGCCCCCCTAATAAGCTGACCTTTGTACTGAGCTGTAGAACAAAACACTGCTGTATAATGATGTGATTCAACTTTAGCGGTTTACCTTGAAGGGACTGCATCCGAGCTGACTGACCTGGAGCAGCATATAGCTGTGTCTGAAGTAAAATAGGATTATCTTACTACTTCCATCTCATTCTGTATACAATACTGGCGCACATTTTTTGAATTACAAGCACACTTGTTGCCAAATGCAGTAATCTGATTGGTTATATCTGTTAATTCTACTGTCCAGTAAAATTACGAAGTTGGTGTAAATGGCTGCATTAAGAGCAGGGGAGTCCGAAAAAAATATTTTCAATTTTCTGTAAAGGCCTTAACAGTCAGGCTTTAAAAACTGTCCAGGTCTTTGGCTGACTGATAAGCTAGAGTAAAAGATTGCAGCCACTCCTCATCCTCAACCTGTGATTCAGGGATTTTAACAGAATGACTTGAAGGTGTTGATTCATTTAAACTAATGCATTAATACTGCTGGGACCTGGTTTCTGTAAGCATTGGGCCCCGTATATAGAAAAGGTAAACTGTTACTTTGCTTTCTGTGCAGTTTACTTCAAAGTAAAGACATTCTGTTGTTAAGGAGGTATGCTAAAAACAAAACCCTTCTAAATCTGCATTAATACCAAATACTTATGTCTAAATAAAATGTTATCAAGCATCAAAATAACATGTCTTAATCATTATGTTTGTCTGTATCTGCACCAGATATTTGAAATGTCTCTTATTAGATGGCATTAAAGGATTTCTAGGTAAACTCATGGCAGTCAAGATTACAGCATTAAGTAGCATTCCCTGTTCCCTGCTATGAATAAACCTGTGAATAGTTTAGAGCACTATTGTAACAGCTTCTGTATGAGGGTAACAGGCTTTGTGCTGCTGGCAAGCATTCGACATTAAAATCAATTTCCACGGGCTCTTCCTTCCACTCCATAGTGTTTATACAAGTAACTGATTGCACCTAAACCCCATTACACTGGTCTTGTGCTGAACAGGTGTACACATCATGTACACACAAACGCAGGTCCTGCAGCCGTTCCCATAACCAATTTTCGATCCTATTTCTGTGCCCCTCTCTACTGTGGATTTTTCTAGCTCAGACATGCGAACACCTCGCTTGAATAAATATTAATGGTAATTCTATGAACAGGGCCAACTTACAAGTGGCTGGTAGAACAAAAGGCCTTGTTTATAAGTGTGCTCGAGGAAAGCTAAGGCACGAAGGACCTCTGCGGGCCTCTGAGGTTGGCTGTGCAGCACAGTCAGCTCACAATGGAGTGCTGATTGAATCACACTCTTAACTTTCAGCATAAAGCAGGCAGCAACGATAGCAAAAATCCTCAACTTGAAGAATTTCTATTGAAACTACAAAGACGGAGCTGAAGAAATCAAGCTTACTAACTTACAGCCTCTACTTAAACTCATTTAAGACAGATCTGAGAGGCAATTAGGTTTCTGGGAACAATAAGCAGTCAGAATCTTATGTAGCTCCAGCCTTGCTCCAGACACTTCCTTTGGTATAATTACGGGAGGTGTGAATTCCTCATCAGATGGATCACCATCTGTATTCACAGACTCGTTCATTTCCCCAGTCCCTAGCTACGAGTTTATGTGCTTGCTGATTATCATTTAGCAGAAGGCAATGGGAGGGATGGAGAGAGGGCCGTTTCCTTTTCAAGGTTCTTTCACTGATATGGTCCTTCTCTAAAGTTTAGTCGACTCTGAATGATGATTCAGACTCTAATGACTCTAATATCGCAGTGATTCTCTAATAAGTGGCCATGTCTGCTTGCCAGTTATTTTAAGAAGTTCTGAAATCTTAAGCATTCCCCAATAGTCCAGAGAGCAGTGGAACTGCGAGTCTGGCAAAAAGGAGCTAACATCTGCTGAAGAGTGTAAATGAGAACGTTCACATCTATATAAGGCCTCCCAGTTAAAGCAAGTGCTGACAGGATGGGCTTAAACTAATGCAAGTTTTGACCCTCTTTCTATTAAACCAAGCAAAAATAGAGCTTCCATTAAACATCACAGAGACAATAAATCTCATAGAGGATCTAATTTCTACATGAACTTTACTCATGTCCTTAATTAATACTGATTAAGAGAATAAATACTATTTTCTTACCCCAATCTTCACAAAATGGCCAGACAAGAGTTAAATAGTTGGGTTTCAATGGTAAAATGAAGTCACGTGACACAAACAAACTTCAGTCTCAGTCATTCTATCACTCTGGCACACTTGTTGAAAAAAAAAGTCATCTGGGGTTAGATAAATGTTGGACAAATACTGACTTCTTATTAAATACATCACTCAGTTATGCTGTGAATGAAAAAAAAAAACCATATTAAACCAGTGCTGATTTTTCCTCTGCACACTTAATTTATTCTTTTCAGTGCAGTCTTCTGTAATTCCAGCCTTCATATTAAAGGTATTATTCTGTCCTGCTGTCCTACCATTGAACAGATGGAGAGGGTCGTCTTGCCATGAAGAACTGCTAACCCTGAATGAATTTGATTAGTCTGGGTTTCAAAGAAGACTTTTAGTATTGCGTCATGGCTGAAATAAAATTTCAGAGACTTTTCCAAACCCAAGCCATAAAACAAAGGCAAAAAAAGCATTTAATATTGAAACATCAAGGAATTAACCAACAAAAGTCGATTCATATAGCCCAAATGCTGTGTTTATAGAGTTAAGGCATGTTAAATGCTGCTACTTACTCAAAATTATGAACATGACAACATCTTGGCAAAGAACACTGCTCTTTTTCACAATAGCTAATGGCCTAATATTCCACCAGGTTAACTGAGTAATTGTGTGTTGTCAACATGCCACGTATAATTACGGGCAAGTCCAAAGGAGCATGTGATTATCCTCCTCCTGGTGTCCTTGTGTCCTTGGCCATTCAACACCCTGGCACATTCTAGCTTAGGTCTCTTTGACAAACCTGGGCACATGCGTTCAGCTGATCACCTCTGTCACTAGAGCTTGTATACGAGAAAAGATTCTGCTTTTGATAGCAGACAACAGCAGGCAGGCATTTACAAAGAGAGAAGTGATAAATATGCAGCATTCCTAACGACTAAAATGATGGTGATTTAAAAGCAGCAGGTGTAGTTATCCAGAGAAAGACGTTATATTGGCAGCTAAAGCATCAACACTGTCTTTGCAGTCTTATTTTTTTATTACTACAGTCTTTTGGGCCAACTGTATTTCACGGATGCTCGAGCATGAAAGAGGAATCTTGTTGAGTGGATCCATAAAAATAATGAATAAAAAAGGCTTAAGAGTTTGTCACTACAAAACACAGCATTTTAATTACGGCTGATTCCCTTGAGAATGAGCTGCAAAGACACGACTAGCTCTTTAGGTACCGCTGGGAGACAGCATCCTTGCTAAGCTAATAGCGTTTGCCACTGTAGTGCTGATATACACATTAAATTAATCTTGGTAATATGCATACTGAAAAATATTATGGATTATATCAGACTGGGACCATTAATGTTAATGGGGAATCATTAACGTAGTTAGCATTTGAGAGGTTTTCAGAATTAATACTGTCAATCGTCACGGTACTAATGTCAAATGCACTCTTAGTAGGAGCAAAGGCTGAGCTCCGTGCTAGTGGAAGACAAACACTTTTAACTTGAGTTTAAAAGAAATTGTTTCCACATTTTGGGAAAATAATCAGACCATTTGTAAAACAAAGATTTTTCAGAGTTTCTACTTGTTATTGTGTGTGTCAACAGACTATAAACAAACAGGATACAATATTTAAGCGTTAGGTGCTTGATGAGTGTATCTTTAAATAAAGGAAACACTACAAATTTTTTTCCACAGCATTTCCATAAAATTTTAACCAATTAAAACTCACAGTTCAAAGTTGTTTAAATGCAAGACAGCATTATTAAAAATAAATAATAAAATTCTTTACCTGCTTGGCCAGTAGCAATGCTAACTGCAGCAAACAGCCTCTGCGTGCGGCTGAGGTCAGACACCCCGTTGACAGCCTCCACCTCAAAAGTGTAGTTGGCGTGAGCGAGCAGATCCACAGCGGTCACGTAAGTGTCCACTAATCCTGACTGCGCGGGAGAGTATCCCACATTTAGCCCACACGGAACACACTCCTCGGGTTCCCAGCTGCAGCGGCGACATATAACCCTGTAGGTGACGTCGTTGCGACCGCCGGTGTCAGCCGGTGGGCTCCACTCCAGGCTAACTGTGGTCTGGTTGATGTTGTAGACCAGGTTCTGTGGTGCAGAGGGAGGTCCTGTCAGAGGTGGACGCCAAGAAAGCAAGTGAGTGCCAAGGAAAGTGACAGTCAAGCATTTGTACTCGCTGGATATGTACTTTAATTGTTCTCTGAAAAAATAGCTAATAGAGGACGGCCAGCTCCAGCCCCAGATCCAAACACTGACACTCAATTATAATAAGACTCAGATCTAGAAAAAGTCATTCAGGTATAATGAAAGGAAGTGAAGGTCAGGTCAGTGAGAATCCAAGCAGCAGACGATCGTTTGACAGATTTCTATGTCTTCCTTTTTTCCTTACTACACCGGCAGCAGCGCACACCTACTTCACTTTTATTTCATTATTTCATTAGCATTGTTGACTCTGTGAAGTGGCAAGTCCAATCCTGATCAATCCAAATAGATCAGGATATATTACAGCACTGGGTTTTTCTTGGGTTTGTTTGCTTGTTGTTTATTTTGTGGGATTGTGAGGGGGTTTCAAGTCTCCTCTTCCTTTTGTGTTCTCCAGCAATCAAATAAAAATGGCAATATCAGAAGTTCAAACTATCAGTGTTTTATCTCAGAATATTCAGGAGAATATGCATTTTAAGTGCCAACGATTTTGTGACTGCGCTTTAACCAGTTCTGTTTAAATAACTGCTAGTAAATCTGATTATAATTAATCAAGGTATTCACCACTTTCCATTGTTAAAAGCTACAAACATTCTGAAGTTGCCAATGTGTTCACAATGAACAAATTGTCCTATTTTAAATTTGAATCAACCTAAAGTCGTATAGCTGCATTAGCTGTATTAGCTGTAAAACACACATTCATAGCTGGTGATTTGTCCCTGTTAATGCTTTGATTACACAATGATTGTTGGTGACAGCATAAACCTGCTGCTGACATGATTGATGATTGATGCATGGTTTACTCCTCAGACTCAGCAGCAAATCAGAAGCCGTGGAGCCAATATCCCAGCCGCAGACAGTGGCTTTCCAGGGTTTCCTTTGAAAAACTATATCACATAGACAGCAGCACAATAAAACGTAGTGGCTTTCAAGAAGCCTGACTCACCCACAACGTTTATTAACGAGATTTAAACCTGGATTATTACCACCCTGTAACTGTCGCATACCAATCAAATTGATATACTAGAATAACGACTACCTCTGCAGCACTCACAGACCATTTCCCCATAAATATTAACATAACAAGCGAAAAGATTAGCTCATCTTGTAAAACAATGAATAACAAACGGCTGCTTTCATCCTCTCACATTCCAGACTATTGGGTTTTATGGCCCAGGTGCTGACATAAATAAATCCCCCCTGACATAGTAAAGATGATATAACTTGTATTCTTTGTTTATGAATGTTTTAGTGAACATCTTCATTCTGTGCTGTTTTCTTAGGTGACGCTTCGATTCATTCAATTTGTGACATTACCTAACAAAATGGATACGTTCAGTGCAAAACCTATGGACCATCACAAGATTCAAGCTTATTAAATCGGCACTGGGTTGTTTTTCTTTTTTCTACCCATTAGAATCAACAGCTCGACTGAGACGTCTATATTCATGATTACCAGGTGAGATAAGAACCAGGCTATGGGCTGGGAAGATGAAAGAGCCACCTGTGGCAGGTGAAGTGGAGAGGAGTGACTGCCAATAGTGCCACTCGACTTCAGCCTTGGCGCTGACACTCGACCCACACTCTCAATCTTCCTTGTGCACAAAAGGAGGGGGTGTGACTCACGCACGCACACCCCCTCACATGTGCATGCAAACACACTTCCCCAACCTTCCTCCAGACCAGTCCTCAGGGATCTTTTATTCTACCATGATAACATCTCATTTTGCTCGTGCCACTCTCTTTCAGGTCTCAGGTGAAAGTGATGATTTTTTCAGCAACAACAAGCAAAAGGAAATTAGATCAGACTCGCCCTGGATGTGTGTGACCTTTCTGTTTTGTCGTCTTGTTCAGATGCACACTACACTAAGAGCTTTGTCGTTCCCTTATAAACACCTTGCTATATTTCAAATCGAGTAGCAGTGACTAAAACTGTCCTTTCAATGGCTACATTCTGTAAATCTTTTGTAACAGCCAGCCTGTGCGGAGCTACGGAACCAAGCATGCCTTCTATGGGGAGACCCAGTGATAACTTCCTTTGGCTGGCCTGGAAACAGCTCTACTTCATCTGCCCTGCCGTCTCTTTGTTTCTCTGAGTGTACTCTGTCTGCACTCAGAAATACCAAACTCTTCTGGCCTCAGCTTCACCTGCAGCACAGAGCCCACCACTGTCAGCCTGTCTGCTCATCCTTACAGCTCAGGGGTTTGTCACTCTCCCTCTTCTTTTTCCTCTTTTTTTCTGTCTCTCACTCCCCCACTCTGTCTTATCTTTTCATGTTCTCTCCTCTCACCCCTCCTCCCAGTCAAGTTTCATTTCACGGATTAGCCTGCCACAGCCCCCACAGCCTGAAATGTCTCAATCACTTGCTAGCTGCCCTCCAACTCTGACCAAGCAGCGGTGAGAGTGTTTGTGTAAGTGCGTGCATGTGTCTTGTTCTGTTGCTGGTTTTTTTTCTGTTTTGGGAGGGTGGGGAGGGGGGTTCTACATAAATATGTACAAGCACACTTTAAATTTCCTCCTACAACATTTGCATGTCAACATGGCACAGATTTTAAAGCAGAAGTTGACATTTTATAGGATAAACAAAAGCCGCTCACTCTAAAAAGCTGTAAGAGGAAAAAGGCTTCGGTTGTGCAAATGCGTCTACAACAGCTATTAAACTACCATATAGAAAGCACAGGATAGTATTAGATGAATTTAGGTCATGTTTCATCTCCACTCGGAGAGAGTTGTAAGACCCAAGTAAATCTGGGCTTAGGAGAGAAGAATCTTCCGCTTATCAGCCTTGAGAGGTGCTCTGGGCTAACTTAACCCTCAACAGCTAATAGCACAGCCTATTACCTGGCTGTGCTCTAATTGGGGAGCTGAGGAGAGAGGAACGGCAGGGGTGAGTGGTATTCAAATCACCCATGAGGTATTCGTCACTCTACAAATGTGCGCTATGACCTTCTGACCTTCCATCTAATGATGCGGCTGCAGTAGAACCTGTTTGAGGGAAGACATGCTAAAGAGGAAAAGAGAAGAGGGTTTTTTGGGGCCTCCGACTTCCACTGCCAAGATTTCAATATTGGATTTGCTCCTTTTTGGCTCAAGTATCTGGAGAGTGTATGATGGCATGTCAACATGAATGACAAATGACTAAGTCTACGTTATAACAATTTATGTTTTGGTGTGTCTCAGATGTACAAATGCAGGGCTCGTGGATTTCACTGTTCAGTTGCTAAAAAGCTTGAACATTTTGTGAGACTACAATGATGACAAACCTTTCTCTTAGATGTCCTTACACGTGGTAGCGTTTGAGAATATTATTTTATGGAAACAGGCTGTATTTACATAGCCTCCTCTAATTACAGCATGGACCCAAACACATACAGAGATTTACATTGAATTTACATGTGCAGGGCCAGGATGAGAAAAGTGAATAATGGCACGGAATTTAGACGTGCGTCTCGGTCCGAGTTATCGGTTCAGTGAAGTAGATCCAACTCCAATCCTACACATTTTTTTTTAAATCATCCTCTCTGTTCTAACGGCATTAAATGAAAAGTGTAGTTCATTATCTCTCACCTTTTGTTCTTTGAGTAATGACAAAATTGCACACATGACAATGAAGGGCATTTTACCAAAGCCCCATGCCACTAAATGCCTTTATGCCAGGTTTATATCAGGTAACAGCTCTTTCTCTGTCCCCTAGCAACTCTATTTAGAATGGATCCTCAGATGGAATCAACTTGTTGAGGTGTCACATTTAAGAGGAGTGGGTGGGGGGTAAGGGTGGGAGAAGGAAACGAGTCACAAATGCTCCTTTCAGTCCCTGCTTGCACCAGCACCGCTCACAGCTGTTGCATGATTGATGCCCAGTACTCTGACCTGTCAACAACTCCACTGTGTGCTATGCCTCTGGAGAAAAAGGCTCCTGATGGTCTTCCACACACACACACACACACACACACACACACACACACACACACACACACACACACACATATATGTATGTATGTATATAAATATATATATATATATAATGTATACACACACACATATATGTATGTATATATATATATATAATGTATATATATATATACACACACGTATATGTATATTTGCATATGAATAGCGTGGACAAATATTCAACAAACAAAAGCATGTCTTTATACCACCCCCCTCTTAGCAAATACCACATGGGAAACAGTGTTTTTGAAGCTGTGTTTTTGGAACTTGTTCCCTCATCTTTATTCAACATGGATTTGGCTTTTCATGTCCCCATATTACATCTTTATCTCATTTCCTCTCAAATCCTCATAGACACATCCTTAATCTCTGTGTGCCAGAGATCCATCTCACTGTTTTACCAAGGCCTACAATACGATAGCTTATTATAAGCAAACTCTTATTATAAAAAAAAAAAATCTGTCAATCAAGCTATTTATTCAGGCAGTGCAAATTCATTTTCAATTACTATTCACTCGTGGTCTGGATAAGGCTTAAAAAAAGAAAATCATAGTGACTATTGGTCACAGTGACTTAATCCAACAATGAATGAGGAAATGCACGTACAAAGCTGTAAAAAAATTGTGCTGCGTAAATGAGGAGGAGGAAGTCAAAAATACATATTTACATATAATGGTATGGGGTCACTAAGTGTAGACCCAAAGTTAATGAAAATGAATAATGGAAAGTGTGCAATAGGCAACTTCAGTAATTACTTCGGTACTTGGCCAAGGTGATTGCCCAAATGGGAACAGCCAGAGGACACTCAAAAAAAGTAGGAACTTTCCCCTGTTCTGTGTGTCCTGCTCTCGATCGGTTCAGTCGGGGATGTTAGAGTGAAACATTAACGTCCGATTAGGATGGTTGGAGAATAGAGTAATGGACCTGTCTTTTAGAACAAGATCTATATGGTTGCCTCCGTGCTACATGGAAAGATTGGTGGTTTGTGGTCTGGAGTTAAGTCCTTGTCTTTACAGTGCATTTACAGTGACATGCCTAGTTTAGTTTAGTTCTCAAGCTCCACCAACACCATACTTCAGATTTGGCCATTATTAGGTTAATATTGTGCAGTCTTAACCTTACATTTTAATTGACAGCAGGTAGGTAGGTCAGCAGCAGATTTTAGGTGCATTTTGCCTCATATTCTGTAGCAGTTAGCCTCTTGTATCCAATTCTTTTTGAGAATCAAGCTGTGATTGTTATTTCCCTTTTTGAACAAATAGGAAATGACAATTCCCATTTTTACACGGGAATAAGGGAAAAATTTGCTTGTGGCTCTTATTAACCTCGTGTTCCCACCACCCCTGTCGTTGGATTTGGATGTGTGTACTCAAAAACAAATTTGCTATTCATTGTTTGACATCCAAGACACTGAGAGCGGGGATTTATGGGGGGTCTCTAGGAGTTCTGGGGTCCTGAGGCAATTGCAGTAAATCATCCTTGGAAATGACATGAGCCACATACTAATAAAACCAGCAACTTTAAAAGCAGCCATTTATAATTTAAGTGCGTCAAATACTTTTATCAATGACTCAGTATCATTTGTTGTTGATGTTGTAGCTTGTGTCACACCAATTTAGTGTGCAAGAGTAAGAGTGGTATGCAGCAGCTGTAGCCAGTAATATCTAACATATGATTTTTTTTAGTATTCTAGCTTTTGAAAGTGCACTTAATTACCACTATATTACTATATGGACTGCATACTCAGACACACCCTCTTGGCAATGTAAATACAGTACTGTATGTTGAAATAGATGGAAAGGCTTTCGCGGCAGGCAGAGACAGAGGCTCTGCTCAATGAGCCTGAGCTTTTAAAGACGCCCATAAATAACAAAGAATCCTTTTGTCATATGGAATTTGCAACATTAAATCATAACTCCAATCCCTTAAATCCCTGTTTTGATTCTCTGATTTAATGCGTAGAGAAGCCAATGCAATGGTATAAAATTCTTTGTATTTGCATAATATCTCTCTCCCTCTCTCTCTCTCTCTCTCTCTCTCTCTGTCTCACACACACACACAGACACACACACACACACACTTAGATATTAGATATTCTGACTTGGCCTACTTTAGGTGCGCAGCAAAAATGCAATGCTGTTCAGGATGTTGACTGGGCATGCAAATTGTCCAACACATGCACAAAGCATTTTAAAATGTTAACTTATCAGGTCTCCTTAATAGAAACAGCAAAGGAAGAACAGCACAAGTGTAAATCTAACAGCCAGAAGACTGTGAACCTGTGCAGTGATACATTATCAGCAGAAAGAAGGCACACAGATAAGGTGCACAGATTATGTTTAGGGATCCAGTTTACCTCCAGAGATAAAGCACAGTGCTAAAATGGCCTTCTCCCATGCACAGTAGCTCAAAGCAAAGGAGAAAAAATAAGAAAATAAATACACATCCAGTAGTAGCACTTTGAAAAAAAAACATGTTTGAGAACAGCTCTGGAAGCAAATGAGCCCCACCCATTCAAACTGCATCCCCCAGCCTGTGTAAATAAGCCATCGATGGCTGTCACAGAGCTGTTACACTGGCCAGGACAAATGAAGATGCAGGTTGCTGCATGGGCTGCCACTGCCGACCGTAATTGCAATCTTTCAGACGGGAAATGGCAAATTGCTCCTGTCATCATTAGCAACCAGCTAAGACACAAAACAGACACGCAAGCTTGCAAACATAATTTGCAGAGGAACTGCTATGGAACACATCTGGGGCTTTCATGAGGCCACTGCAGGCTGACTGAACAGGACTAAATCAGGCTCTGGAGTGTGTTGTTTTTCCACTTGCATTAGTAGCTGTTTAAATGCATGTGATCTGTGCTGCGTTTATACAGCAGCATGGCAGACTTACTTGTGCACGCCACAGACGGAGGGTCAGAGAGTGCTCGGTAGTAGCCGTCCTCACAGTCACAGCGCCAGGAGCCTTCGCGGTCATTGAAGCTATGCACCGGACAGCGAGAGCACTGAAGGTCCTGCGAGGAAGACTTGTAGAAACCCCGACCACATGCTGTGCGGAAGGAAGCGAAAAAAACACTGAATCAAAAACACAGTGTGAAGTGTAGAAGTCTGGCGATCTGCAGGTTATTTTCTTCATAAACTAATGAATGCATTTCCTGTACAGAATGTCAGGAAACGCTCAGAAAGGTCTTAATAATGCTCTGCTGCCCAGGGCAACAGCTGCAGTGCTTCAGGTGTTTTATTTTGTCCAACCAGCAGTAAAAACAGAGAACAGACCGTATTGTTATCACATCACATTTAAATAGATAGCAAATATGTGGCTTTAAAAATAACGAGTAATCTAAACAGCTGACAGTTAATAATGTTTAACTCTTTCAAACAAACTAAAACAGGTGACTGGATGGAGACTGACTCATCAGTAAGATTAGAAAAGTGTTATATAAATGCAAGTACAGCCTGTGCCTATCTGTTTGTGCCTGTGCTTTGCACATGCAAGCAGATGATGTAAGAAAATGTAACAATAAACAATTTATAATCCATTTCCTTCGGAACTAATTGAGATTAAACCAGAGATTTTTAGGTTTGGGAGGGGTAGTGATAATTGCACCTGAGATGTCTCACACAAATCCCACGCATGCAATGTTTCCTACCTTTGCTTTGAATGCACAGACTAGTTTGTAATAAGTATGTTTTGTGAACAGTATAAGTATACTGCATCTTTGCTCACTTGGCTACAAAAATCAGCCCTTTTTCATAATCTTTTCAGTCTTTGTCATTGGATTGGAAGAGCTCTCTCACTCTCTCTCTATACATCTCTGCTGTGTGAGCAAACAGTAAAGCTTCAGAGTGTGACAGAGTGGACAGTGGGAGAAGAAAAAGTGAAATGTTTTCTGCTGCTTCTAACTTTTTTCTCTGAATGATCATTTTACATAGAAACACCCTTCCCCTCCTCTTCGTCCTTCCTCACTTGCAGGTTTGATTATTCGTTGTAGATTACTATTGAAGCTCCAAAGCCTATAAAATTGTATTTCAAGGCAGTACTAGATATATGATATCTAATATCCAAGACTGGAAAGCAAAGGTAGCTACACATTAATGTAAAAGACTGGGCTTTGCTCTCTGATCTCCTCAGCGGACTGATTTCCAACTATATTTGCAGTTCAAAAACTTCCATATGAATCACAGATACCAGTTTAGAGTTATGTCCGGGATTAGGTGATTGATTTTTACCCGTCATCACCAAGGTTGTGTGATCAGTTGTAATATCAGATATAGAATAATTATTCAAACTTGACAGTACTGAGCTATATTACCACCAGACAAGACATTAAAATGACCATCTGCGACAAGTAACTATAATTCTGCATTGTGCTAATATAGACAGGCAGACAGGCAGACAGGCAGACAGATAGATAGATAGATAGATAGATAGATAGATAGATAGATAGATAGATAGATAGATAGATAGATAGATAGATAGATACTACTTTTTATACAGCACTATATACATATTAAGGTTAGGGGGACTTAGGCCTCTGAGAGTTAACATAATCAATTATATGTCTGACAATGCAAACAACTCCTGAGTAACATACTGCATAATCCATTAAAGACAAGGTATGAGATATAACCTGTCACCATCCCCAACCATAAAGTCGACAGCTCTCTGAAATTCTCAGAATTTGATTTGCTATGTCCCAGCTGAGCCAGGTTCACACAGGATCATATTCACTGATGATCTCAGCAGTCATTACAAATCACTGAATGTCTCGAGGTGATATTAGTCCTGTGCAAACAGAGCCTCAAAGAGTCTTAGCTTCATAGCTGAATTCCCATCATGGAGGGGGCATGACAGAACAAACCACTGCGTTCACATCTCGATGCAGCCAGAATTTGAGCGAGCCTGCCCCCTCGGGCTTCATCAAGCAGGCTTAGCTGTGAAACGGCACTGCAAATCTCAAGTTGAAGCTTTTGCCCAGAGATGAACTCCTACCTGAGAGGGAAATAACAAGACCATTTTTATTCCGATGAATCCACAGGTCAGCGAAGGGGTTTCACTTGTTTACAACAGCTCATATTTGTAAGAGGAAATATTCTTCAGTAGACAGATAAGAACATGTACTGTATCAAGCTCGAGCAAATTGATCATTTCAGTGCTTCACCTCTGACCGAGCAGGTAAGCAAAGAAGGCTGCTGATATGACTGATCGCTATTTGTGTTGTGGGGTATTAAGAATGATGCGCCTAACCCTAACTAATTCACACATACAAAATGATTTTCTGGTTCCAAGTAATGCCACCAGTTATAGTGACTCATACCAACCCAGTGAGAAACACACAGTAAATGTTTAAGGACTAGCAAAGAGTCAAATCTCTATTCAGGGAAATGCAATTTTAGCCTGGAACTCAGCTAATCCACACTGGCTGGCTGTGCATGTGCAAAACGCAGCAAAAGCATGGTGAACAAACTGCAACCTGGGCCACATGACTTCACAAACAATCTGAAAGAAATCTATACAGCTCTGCATACAAACTATCAAATTATACTAAAAATGCATTTTTCATGAGCCACGGGGGGAAATGAGCGATGATTTTCATGCTTGCTGCCCCTATTCCAAATCTTGATTCTGTTCCGCTAGCTTTTTCTTTCTTTCTTTCTTTCTTTCTTTTAATTTCCTTTGGCCAACGTCTCTTGAGACAGATTTGTAATAAGGAAGACAGATAAATCAGAGTTTTCTGGTTTTAACACTTCCAATGCAGCATGAAAAAGAGGCCAAGGCTCAGGGTATCCCCATTTCAGCTACATGAAAGCCCTGTCATTCTCTATTTATCAAGGTGCCACAGTTTTGTGAAACAAAGGGTTTTTTTTGTTGTTTTCCCAAGATGAAAAACAACATGATTTTATCTTTAATCTTTTTTTCTTTACCTTTTTTGGCCAGTAATTGAAAACAGAACCATGAAAAGGCTGGCAGCAGTGGGCCTTTAATGCTGACCAGGCAAAACATATCAATGGAAGTGTTTAATCTTCATATGTAAGTTCTTCATTGTTGTTGATGTTGTTTTAATGTACTGTTCTCATGACAACACTTGACTTACAGCAGAATAAACCGTGTCTAGTACCTGATCCTCAGTGTAAACACTCCCCATAAATGCTGATAATGATGCTTTCTACAGCAGATTCAAAACTGCTAGATCTCAGCGCCTTTGCTCAGCATGCTGGGATTTTTAACATTCTGATAAACCAGCGTGTCTGTTTGCCTTTGGTTTCTGAGAGCTCAACTGCTGGGTGGCCTGTGTGCAGAGGGGGAAACACCCAGCTTGGACTGAGACCCCCACAGCCACCTCCCTCCCCTCCAGAGTACAGAATAACAATGCGGGCCTTCAAAGAGGACAGTTTTCAAAATTAAACACTGGATAACTCGTTTATTGTAACGTGACTCACATGTTAATGTTACAGTGTTTCTTATCAGTTAGAATTTATTACTGATTCTAGTTCCCAAATTCAAGGTGTTGGTAGTTGAACATGTTCTGAGGTTATAACAGTATTTTTACACATTTTCTGACATATATATTTATATACTGACAGAGTAATACGTAATGCCCATTGTAAAAGTAATCCCTGACTCTTCAGTCTGTGTGATTTCATAGAGAGGCGCTATCGTAAATATAGTCATGTGAAGCGCAGAGCTCTGTCTGTGAGCGCAGCAGTCTCACTCAGCTGCTGTAACTGTTAGAGGCAAACAAGCACAAAAAGGTGAGAGGAGCTCAAATGTGAGCAAAAATCATAATGTGTTCCCTCTATACTTACATCTAAACATTTAACTATATTTAACCTCATTATGAGATTTTATATAAACTTACTAACCACTTAACCTGTTTGGGTTTCTTCCAAAACTCACAGCAAAATGCCTCACAATACACTCCAAACATTTTCCTGAACCACCGTATAAAAATGTCAGCCCATGTTTATAATCCATCAAAGCTGAAAGTTTTGTTTTAAAAGTCTGTTTCTTAATATTCTTTGAATGGTTTATTAATGTTTTATCAAGGCCTCTAAGTAAATGCCATGGTCAACACACTGGCACTTTTCCAACTGTATCATAGAAATTCCCATAGAGACTGACCTGAGCGCTTGTGCCTCCAGTCCATCTGCACTGCGTATGCCAGGTTACAAAAAACTGTGAGGTGCATCACAAGGCAAAACAATACCAAGGGACACTGCACCACACTGCACTGATGACAACAGCAAGCATAAACTGCCTGTTAAGCTAGATCTAGACTTCTGGAGGAAATCTATGGCGTAACTGGAAACACCTTTTTAACCCTATGCTGCAGCTACACTGTACGCCATTCAAGTCATTGCGGGCAGCATCGACCTGACAAGTGGTTACATTTTTCAAGAGGTGCATGTCAGGTTATGTGGAAGGCTATGGCATAGGGTTAAAAGGACTTCCCGGGTACAATTTAAGTCGTAATGTAGACACCGACAGATGTCCAAATCATGCATCAATGTATCTCTAAATTCTCTGGATTTAATTTTTATTTCTTTTTGCTTCATGTTGAAGTCCATTGCAATAACCCCCTCCCTTTAGTAGCACTGTGTACAATGCAGCATTGCCCAACTTGACCTTAACAGAAACTAGAAAATAGAGACTTAATGCTCAAGAAAAAGTTTCTCTTCTCCCTTACTCGTTGGGAGTATATTTCTACCCGTACCTAATGGACTACCTAACCAAGGAAGCAAATCAAGACTCTAAAAATAGCAACTACAGGATGTGAAGAGGACATTAACATTTTAGGTGGACACTACGGTCCTAATGTGGGCTTTTACCAGTCTTCAACAAGTAATTCTGTAGCGCTATCCTCCACATGAAAAAGTAACAGTAAAAGGGTTTAAGTATGTCAAATGTGGACAGAGGAGATCCTGATCAAACTACAAAAATAATTCCCAATTTTTTTCTTTTTTGTAATAACCTCAACTTGCATTTTGTGCTCGGGACTTGGTTCGGTTTCTCTGCTTTTGTTTCTTTTCAGTGACAACCCGTGTGTT